CGTGTCGACCTCAGAGGGCCCTCCCATCGAAAATGAGTACTAAGAGCATACAAAATGCCCTCTATAAATAAGCCCCTCCACTACAATACAGGGGTAAGACTTTTCAGCTTGACTTCTATACTTTTATATGGTCAACAACAAGAGCTCTTATAAACAATCTTACTTGAGCATCGGAGGGTCTTAGGCTGGTTCCACACCGGTTCCATAGACCTCACGAACCTCAAACTCTCTTCTATTCAGGATCTGCATCCCAGGACAAGAAGGATCTGCATCTATCACTCAATCGATCTGCTAGATCGTCCTCAACACTTGTAAGTTGCACTCATCTCTATCTGTTCAGATTTAGCGCCAACAAATGTCAAATATGCTGATGTGAATTATTCCTTTATATGATTATCCTGGTAAGATTTTAAAACTTCTTCTTTCAAATCTTATTCACTACTATGCGCAGAGATTTGATCAATCATATCCATTAAGTATTCTCTCTCCTTACTGAGAGTAGAGATTCCTTGTTGTAAATTCATTTGTCTTCATGACTTTATTAAAAGTCCTGATAAACACTTTTAGGTCATGTCTCCTACAACACAATTGTATAGTCTCACGTCTAAGGATTAGTTTGTACCATTGCATTGCAATCTATGAGTTCTAGTTTGACATGTGAGTAAAACTTCTATTCTAGAACTTATGTATTTGATCGCATTCAGTGTACTTGTTCTCTTGCAAGCACCTACACACATATCTAGGTGTTGCTACACTCAATGAATTGAGACCTCGTCATTCTCTACATATAGAGAAGATACTGTGTGTACTTGTCTTGGAGGAATAGTAACGCCTAATTGATACTCCTATGACCAGGACAATATTTAAGATTAGGGACCATGATAAGTCTCGATGTATGCAAATAGTTCTCATGTCTACTTATATATATTCCTAGGACTATAGTTGTTTTACTATTATGATAATATACCAAATACCATGGTTGAAAACAACTGGTCTTTCCCATAAATAACTTAAGAATTCATCACATACGATGTCCTGAACATTAATTATAGTATAATTAGTTGGCTTTAAGGGCATACTACTAATATATATATTATTTTATTTATTTTTACTTACTAAATATATACACTAACAATTTATTTTATAATATAACAAAAGACCAAACGGTCAAATTGATAGAACATATAAATTGGTCAAATTTTAAATCGTTGGGGTATAAATTGACAAAATTTAAACTCCGTGGCCCATTTCAAGAATGACCCCAAACTTTCAGGCTCTAAAATATCATTAGCCCATATTTATTATTATTTTTTATTGCCTTAATTGAAAGGATTGGGAAAACCCAATAAGAGGAAAATGGACAGCCCAAAACACTAAGGGCTCGTTTGGTACACAGGACTATCTTGGCATGGACTATGCTTAGGGACTGTCTTGTCTTGGCTTGGCTTGGTCTAAGTTGGATAACACTTATCCTGCGTTTGGTGTATGCTTGGACTAGGACTAGATTTTTTTTTTCTTCAAAACTATCTATGTATATGTATATATGTATAAATACATGTATTATGTATGTGTACATATGTATTTTATAATATATGTGACATGTATGTGTATATACATGTATATATGTATATTATAAATAATATAAACATATGTATGTATATATATATGTACACATACATGTATATACATGTATATATATTATAAAATACATATATATATATATATGTACACATACATGTATATACATGTATATATGTATATTACAATATATATAATACATATATAATGTATATGTGTATATATGTGTGTATATGTATACTATAATACATACATGGGTATAATATATATACACATAAAAATATATATATGTATATATTATATATTATATTATATAATATATAATATATAATATATATTACATATATACACGTATGCTATTATTATAATATTAATATGTATACATGTATATATGTATATTATAGTATATGTGTAAGTAAGTTTAATAATAATAATATATGTTATTAATTTTACAATATAATATATGCATTTTATACATTGGTGAGCATTTGGACTAGCTAATCCTCCCTTTCCACATGGGATTAGTAGTCCCCTCCTAAGGAGGTGTTTTTGGTGGGCCTGGTATTAGCAATCCCATCTAAGACTAGGATTAGATAAAACAAACATTGTACTAAATTTAGTCCAAGCCAGTCCAAGCCAATCTTGTGTATCAAACGAGCCCTAAAGGAATGGCTTGGATCCCTAGGAAAAAAAATCAAAAAACAAAAACAAAAGGAGTTGCCGACACCACATCGGCACCCTTTCCCTTTTTTTATTGGACTGAACTCCTTCTCCCTATTGTCTCCCTTCCTCTCTCTTTCTTTCATTATTTTACTTTTCTCTCTCCTATTATTTCCCTCTTTCCTTTCCTTTTCCCTCTCTTTATGTCTCTGGAAAAAAACTTTCATGAAACGAGAATAACATTATTTTGCTATCTTTGACTAAGAATGTTATAACATGCGTGATAAAAGTTCCACATACCACAATATTATAACACGCGTGATAACAGTTCCACGTAACATAACATTATTGATCGAGATACAAAAACTGTATTATTCCTGTTTTAACTAAGGGGTTATATTCAATTCTAACTTTCAAAGACTTTTTTTTAAAAGTGCATGGCTTTCATTGAATTGACAGATTCTTAATGACTTTCACATACTTTATAATGTTAAGTGACAAATGTTCATATACTTTTATCATAGAGTTTTAGAGACTTTTATCTAAAAAGGATACAATTGTGTAAATGCAAAGAAATATTTTTCCTTCATATTTGAAAATGACAAAAATGATAAAGTACAATTGAAAATGTACCATAAGGAAATAATTGTCTTTCAGCTTAGCCATGATTCAATGAAAAAAAAGATTAGCCATGATCCATTTTAATGATGGTGAAATAAACTATAATGCAAATTCCTTTTGAAATTTCATTGCTCATCACCGTTGATAACCGTTATCATTTTGCATGATATCTCTCCACATATCAAAAGCTATACTAACTTTCTATTTATTAACAATATCTAGTTGTTGTTCTTGAGTTTCAAAAACTTGTTCCACATTATCTCCTTCATTCCCTGGTAGTGGTGAAGATGATGAAGATTCATTCTTTGGTTCAATAGGAAATTCACAATATTTGGGGTTTCTTTAGCTTCCCAAAACTACAAAGTCAATAGGAAATTCAAATGGAGCCTTAACCATGAAGAGAGTGTACTTCTCACTGTTTAATGCTTGATATAACGAAGGGAATATATTGGAGAAAGAATTGGAGATTTTTTTTTAGTCTCTTTAGCTTCCCAAAACTACAAAGTCATCTGTAAATTAGCAAGACTTTGGGTATTAAGAATTAATAAAAAGTCATTTATTTAACAAAGTTTTCAAAACTCATTAATTTTTTGGATACAACAAAATTTTAAAATACTTTTTAAAAGTTACAATTGAATACTACTAAACTTTTAGGGTGCTGATTTTCTCACTTTTCTTTTGTCTACTTACACTCCATTTTGTTTTATAATACTTTTTACTATAACATGCAAAGAAGTGTAAGTAGACAAAAGAGCAGTGAAACCATACAATTTCCAACAAAAGAAGTGTAAGTGGACGAAAGATAATTGGAAAAATCAGCTCTCAATCTTTAAACACTATTTAAAAGTCACATTTAAATTCGTCCTCACTTTTAAACTCATTAAAAATTGGTGAATACCTCCTCACTTTAAAAGTTAGAATTGGATACACCCAGTTTAAAGAGATATATGCTTTCCCGAACTTTTTCTTTTTTCTTTTTGCTAATACTTTCCTCTTCTTCACTCACTCTCTCCTTGTTTCTTCCATTTTTTTTACCTCTGATTCTCTGCGCGTGGGTTTTTGCAGAAAAGAAAATCCTCTTATTTCTTCACTCACTCTCTCTCTCTCTCTCTCTCTCTCTCTCTTCACCTGAAGATGTTTATTATGAAATTAGGATCCCTATTAGGATCCCTACTAGGATTTCGACATCAAGGAGGCTTTGACTCATCTACTGATGATGATGATGATGGGGATGGAGATGATACAAAAACAAGAACAACCAGAGTCAAATGCCCGTTTTGCTCCAAATGCTTCAAAGTCAATAATACTACTGAATGCCCAGAACCAAATGCCCGAGTTGCCTCAAAAGCCAGCTATATTAATACGAGTAATTCTAAGTTGAATGTATCATTTGATGAATGGATAGCAGATGCTCGAGACTTCACCTCTGAAAATGAGGACAAGGTTAAAGAAAATGACCCATCCAGGATTAGAGCTCCTTGTGACAGTTCAACTATATTAATGAATAATGGTGAAGATTCTACAACAGAAAAGAAGGGTTTTGTGCCAAATGTTCAACCTGCAGTTTCTACTGCATCGAACTCTGTTTTTCATCCTCCACAAAAGAAAGGGGCATTCAGGATGAGTGTACTTGAGGTATCTTCTATGGTTCCCTGATAATCTTAAGCATCTTGGGTTATTGTATTCCTTATCGTGTGCATATTCATGGCTTCAAATTGATATATTTGAACCTTATGGGTATGGTTTGTAGGATTATCTGGAGCTGGATGATGACGACAATTCTGAGGTGGAGACTTTCTCGACCGACAAGAGCAGCGTTGCTACTGCAACTGTTACACTGGAGAAGCCTCCAGCTTTCTCTGCTCTCTCTGCTGAGTCTATGCTTGCTGAGAATGGCGCCAACTCCACCGGCACTAGTGCATTGTCGTACAGCAAGATGGTATCTACCCAGCCATCCTTTACATATGATAAAGTTGCTCCACCAGAAGAATCAAATGCTGGTCCTTCAATGTTTGACTTTGGGGGTAAAGTTACTTCAATGAAGGATTCAGATGCAGCTTCTCCTGTGTTTAACTATGTCTCTAAGAGTGTTGACGAAGTTGCACAGCCACAGTTTGCTTTCGCTTCGTCACCCGCAGTTGATGAATCTGTTGACGTAAAATCTGGTGCCTTTTCAGTCCCCAAACCTGAAAGCTCAAGCAGGTCCGTAAGATAATTTGCCTATTTTCTTTTTAATGTTCTCCTATTGTTGAAAAGCATTGTTGAAGGCCCTTGGTTGCTTATGTTTTCTTTATAAAAAGAGACTGAAATGTATAAACAAACCTAGGCTTCTGAAGGATTTTCCTTCAAAGGAATGGGCAAATGGATCGGACCTGTATGAATATCTTTCAGTTGGTAGTTATGACCAGGAAGGCAGGTTGCCTCTAAATATCAGTTTAGTTTAAAGTGCTCACTTAAGTGTGGCAATGAAATTAAGATATTGATGGATGTAGTGAACCAAATTCAAGTTCCAACTCGTTGTTTTACCTTTCTATCTCCAAATGAGGATCCTCAGTGACCAAAAGCATTCCGAGATTAATTTTAGTAACATTTTAACCTCTCCAGGAAATAAACTTACTGTTTAGAAGATCACCACCAGCACCAAAGGAATAGGGTTACCACTTCCATCTTCTGCTAGCAATTTTCTGAAATCTCAATAGTCAATTTCTTTACAAGTAAGACCTACATCTGAATCAATTCAGAAAAGAAGGCAAAACAATGATACTGGGTTGTGGAGCAAGTGCTTGGAATTCCTTTAAACTTATGGTTTCCCTCTGCCTTAATGCTTGTGTACTTTTGTTCCCCACCAGAATTCGCTGGTGGCTATGTGGTGATTTAGGGTTTGAAAAATGGGTTTGAGGGGCTGCTCCTGTGTGGGTGACGATTGATACAAGCTGGACAACGAAAGAGAAAAGAACACTTTTTCCTTTAGTTTCAAAATGTAATCAGTGGTATCATGTGGAAATCTCAATCATTTGATCTGTATTGGTGTTACTAATTTTTATGTTCACAAAAAATTTACTGTTTTATTTATTTATATATCTATGCTTTCATCTGTAGTGCATCTGCCGTTGTTGCTGCTGCAACAAATTCTGTAGCTAGTAGTGCCCCATCACAGCCTGCATCTGGGAACCCAAATTCTGCATTTCCCTTTGGTTCCTCGGATAATAATGATAAAATGAACTTTGTAGACATCATGACTGAAGACACTAATCAGGCATCTACACCTACCGTCCCAGTATTTGGTCAGCAGCCTGTGTTTGGTCAACAGCCTGTTTCAAACCCACGGTCTGGCTATGTATTTGGATCTACACCTGCAGTCCCAGCAGCGAATCCCTTCCCATTTTCAAGCCAACAGAATCTAGCCAACCCACAGAACCCTTCACCATTTCAGGCTTCGGGCAGTTTGGGTGCAAGTCAAGGGGGCAGCTTCTCATTGGGCACTGGTGGTGACAAGTCTAACCGAAGAATAGTGAAGGTTAAACACAACAGGCCACGGAAGAAGTAAAAGCATCAATGGTAAAATGTGGGTGGTGTGGTTGTTGTTCTCTGTTCTCTATATGAGGGTGAATAACTTTAATGTGCAAGACTAGATACAAGAGATTGCTGTTTGAATACTGATGATGGTATAATTGCCCTTCTGAGGTTAGGAATATCAGATGATTCTGTTTGCTCTACATATATATTGTTTCCCTTTTTTTTTTTTTTTTACTATCGAGCCAAATTTTCGTGGTTGCAATGAGAGCGCAAGTTTTTCACAATTTCATACCAGTTCCGTAGTCGGAACATTTATGCTTTTGTATTAGTACATGTAGTAGCCTAGTAGGTGAATGTTTTTGTTTCAGTTCGTAAGTGTAGGTGGTATTGAGCTTTCTGGCTGGGCAATTGTGTTATCAACTGTTTTCTGTGTACTCTGCTATTTGTAACATAAAAGGAAACAGCTGTGAATGTGTCCAAGCTTCTCTGCTGGCCTTCTACTGATTTTTTTCAGGATGCAGGGGATACGTGATGCTGCAGTGATCACATTTCTTGGGTCTTAATCAAATTAGCTTCTTTGCACATCAATATATTATTTATTTATTTTAGATTTCTTGTGTTTTGCTCGTATTGAATGAGTTTGTGTGTTGTAAGAATGTGTCTTTTGCTTTGTGTTTACATGCGATGGGACTGAGAGACTGTCAAGTTTGGAAATGTGCAATGGGGTTACGCCCGAGCGCGTGACGCTAGCATATTCGTATTTCATGTTTATATTACTGTTGACTGATATTGAAAAGAGTTAACGCTAGGGGGGAAACAGATTTCAACATCGTTCATCCCAAATGTGCTGTACTTGTATTTCTGGCATAATTTGTTCTATCACTTGCCTTCATTCATTTAGTGATTCCATTTTGAGAAAAGTTTTGGCAACTGATAATTTTTTTTTTTTTAGGTCTCACTGCTCTCTTCTCCCTCTGGTAAATATAAGACAAACATGCATATATTATGCAACTTGTAATCTAATATATGAATTTCATCAAACTAAATGTTTAACAAAAATAAAAGCCAAGGTGTATTGAGAGAGTTAAACGTACATGGATGAACAATAGAACAGAAAGTCATATTTAAAGGGACTAAATGTTGAATGAGGCAAATAGCTTCAATTCCTATCTATGCATGCCACAGCTACTGCTGTCCATGTATTTTCTTATGAATGACGTTGTGCACTTCCAGTTCCAGGGCAATTATTTGCTCCAGCATTTTGTTCCATTCTCTCCACAACATGTCTTTCACAACATGTTCAGCTTCAACCTAATGCATTAATCAGATACTAACACGACCCATTTTAACATTTCTTCACTAAAGTTGGATTTTCCGTTCTTCTACGGTAAGAAATTTAAAGGTATTTAGGAATTTATAAATGACGGAATTCAAAATGATGGAAATCAATATTTCATAATTTGTAAACTTATTTTTCTTTTGGGTTATTCGTAGCAATGGTCCCTCAACTATACTCGGAGTTACATTTTGGTCACTCAACTCAAATATTAGTTGCAGAAGTCACTCAATTGGATGTTGTGTTGCACAATTAGTCTCTACTGTTAAGTTTGTGACTTTTTCTGTTTAAAATGATGACGTGACAAGCATCTCTTAGATTATTGATGGGTAAAATGTGACTTTTCACCTTCTGCAACTAATATTTGAGTTGAGTGACCAATATGTAACTCTGAGTATAGTTGAGGGACCATTGCTACAAATAACCCTTTTCTTTTTGTTAAAAATGAAAGACAACCAACATTAAAAAAAACATTGTTTTCTTTCTTCAAAAGATTTCATTTTTATTTCTTTTTTGATCATGCGCTCTCTGATTTTCTCTTCTCTAGTCTTCAATTTCCTGTTTCTTTTGCTTTCTTTGTGGGAATACATCTTTAGGCAACTAATAGATGGGCGACACGTAGAAAAGGAATATTCCTTAGGTCAACATATTACCCTAATTAAATCCTATTTAATTAAAGAAATTATCTTTGATTTTTAAGATGGGAATATCTCCCCATATCAAGGATGAGATTTCCATCAAACCTCCTTGTTTAATTACAATCTCCTATTTAAGAGTAAGAATAATTCTAACCAAATGAGGATTATTCTTCAAACCCTAGCATACAAGAAGCCTATAAATAGATGCCTACACAAGACATTTAAGGTAATTCTAAAGTCACACTCAAAACCCGAGAAAAATCCTATCTCTCTCCTTGCCGTCACCCCCTCCATTACTCTTTCTCACATGGCTAAGTGCCACAACACACAACTCTCACTATGAGAGAAAACTCCATCCATTTTAGATATTGTCGTATCTTTATCAAGATCTAATTGAACTAACTTAGGCATCGGAGAGCCTTTGGCCAACACTCCCCGGTGTGGTCTATTTACTCCTACTTATTTCGTAGGGATCGAAGAAGAGAGAGAAGGAAGATCGAAGGTCAAGGAATCAACCCGCGAATATTCCCCGGGCGGAATTTTGCTCAAACATTTTGATGCTTTCATTGAGAGTGCGAGTTATACTCAACGCGTGCTCTTGAATCAAAGGAACTCGTTTCCTCCTTTTCATTGCTCAACCGAAGCCTTCTAAACAACCATGGCTGGAAGTACGCGAACGAGGACCCGGGCCGCCGTAACAACCCAATCCGGGACCAGGTCACCAAGATGCTGCAGCTTCGAGGTAGCTACCGCGTGCTGCAGTCGAAGCCGTGGCTCAGCCTCTTGGCACCACGATTGTCGCCACAGTGTCATGCCCCAGACCCGGGGGTCGGCGGCAAACCCGCGCCCGATGCGTGAGAAAATAAAAAGAATAAAAAGAAATAAAAAGAAGCCGAAACAGGGGTTTAAAATAAACTTCTTTTATAAAAATAGTTCCAAAATCTTACAACTTTACAATAAATAAATAAAGCTCTATCACTATTGAACATATGATTGGTGCTTGGAACATGGATGTTCAGCTTGTCTTCCTTTAGTACTTCAAAAACAGAATATGGCATTAGATTAATTGAAGCACCGAAATCAATTAAAGGTTCCTCAAACAATTTATCACCAACTATACAAGGAATTGTGAAACTTCCTGGATCTTGCAAATTGGGAGGAAGCTTCCTTTGCAAAACAGCATTCACATTTAAATTCAAAGTCCATTTACTTTCATGCAATAGAAATAGGTCACTTGAACCAAATCAAAAAACCCCCCCCAATGTGTGTGTGAGTTGCGTGTTTGACCCGTTTTGTGTCTTTGTCACTGAATTTTGTTTGTTTCGTAATTGTTTTGGACTTTTGGTCCGCGTTGTGTTCTTGCATTTTCTGTGCTGATTCCAACCGTATAAAGAACGTGAATTTTGGATAAACGGTTGGAAAGTTATAGGTCAAAAACTGGACAGAGGTCGAAACTGAAAAACAGAGAAACGAATCTGTCCAAATGGTGATAAACGGGTGATAGAAAGTGCTGTTTGTGTTTTTCTTTGTTTTCTTGTGTTGTTTCATTTCTTTTATCTTCCTTACTTCATTTTTAGTTTCCAATTTGTATTGTGTTTGTGTGTTGTGTAAAATTAGTGTTCTTTACGTACTCAAATTAGAACTTATAGGAAACCGACAAGTTCTTCGTGGGATCGACCCCGTACTTACATAATCTATACTTCATTAGATTCGTGCACTTGCGGGTATTTTTAATTGGTTGTTTGCACATTAATTTGTGTCCTTTTAGGAATGCAACAGCTGCCACAGCCGCTCCTCCTCTTGGACGTCGAGATCGCCCATTCGATGCGCCTCTGCTTCTCCACTCGGTCCTACGATCGAGAACACCTATTCAACGAGCGCCGCCGTGCCTCCTCGCGATCTTGTGGCTTCCATAACTCCGCATTCGCATAGATACGCTACAAGATCTAGTAGCCGCCACCTACTCGGCCTCACGACCGAATTTGATGCTCTCCACCACGGTGGTGCCGCCGTGCCCCATCCCCAGATCACCGTGCCCCATTTGACGTGGATAAGTCTACTACGTTTTTGAATTTTAATTCGTCTTGTTTGAATGACAGTTCTTTACCCTCTAGTTCTTTTGAACGAAGAGCTTTGTGTTGTATAGGACTCTGTCGCTTAATGCTGATATCCTAATTTGTAGGAACAACTTTATGATTTTCAAACTTGTACTTATCTATATAATCATTATAAATACATAGATGCAGCCATATTGGTTTTGCAAGTTTTAACGCAATTTCAAAGTCTTATATGGTATCTAGAGCCTCTAGACTATACATTTCAAGCCCAACATAGGAGGCCCAGAAACTATCAAACCACAAGCATGACTTGGGCCTCGAAGGAATCCAAATTGGGCTTAAACCAAAAATGGGCTTGGCAGGTTTTAAATTAAAAGAAAAAGAGAGCAGCCAAAAAGAGAAACAGACCCACGTGACCCTCTAATTTGGAAAAGTCAACAATTTGAACTGAAGTTAATAAGGAATGAACAGGGGCAGGTAGAAAGAAGACCATCTCTGGAAAAACTCTGCTGCCAAGAGATCAAAACCCGTTTTGTTTATTTAGAGATATTTTCTCTGCTCCAAAAAAGGCACCATTTTCAAAAAGATCGCAGACTACACTTTCTAAAAAGAGCTAAGTAGGAAACAGGGAGTTGCTAAAACTGGAAAATCAAACTTACCATCACAGGTTGAAAGATTGGAAAAAAGAAGGTGAGGTTCCCCATTCAAACAGAGAAGTGACTGTTTTAGAAACTGATCGTTGAGGACTTAAACTGCCAAGATTGATAAAACCCCTTTTCTTTTGTTTTTTAAAATAAAAAGATCTTTCGAGATTTTTTGCATCCATTATTAGGAGAAATTAGAACCCCCACTCCCAAAACATTTCTTATAAATACAAGAGAGGGTGAACAAAGCAAAGGATCACCAATTCAAACAACCAAAAATCAGTCAAAAGATAAAAACTCAAAATGATCATTTGATCTCAAAAGCCTTCAAACAGCGACCAATCAAGACACCCAACTTCAGTTCAGACTTAGAGAAATAAATCATTCAAAACGAGATTTCTCTCGTTACAAATTTGGTTCAGCATAAGTCAAAGCAAGCAGAGTTCAGGTTTTTACAAATATGAAAACCTCAACAAATTTATGAAGAGCCCTGATCAAGCAGGTCAGACACCACAGTAAAGCTCCAGCTCAGTAGTTAGTTCCAGCCACTTCTGCCCCTTCCATACTAAAGAAGTCCCAATTCTGCCCGACCAAAGCCGTTCCAGGGTTTGAAATAAATTGAAAGCTCTGCCAAACTCGAATGTTGGCATCGATTTGCAGCTGAAACAGATCAGTTGAAGTTGTTGACAGTCCAGTCCAGCACAGTCATATCCAATCCAGCCCGGATTAGAAG